GGAAGGTGTTGATGCCAGCCAGTTCTTGTCCCCCTCATTCCAGTAGGAAGCGATGGTTGGCTTCCTGACGACACCCATGGCCAACAAGAGTCCAAGAAATGCCCGCATTTCTTCCCGGTCAACGGGTCTCCACGCCCGAGCCCTGCTCTGCGGTGATAGCGTGCGGCCCTGCAGGTACTGCTCAGCATACCTGTTTGTCTCCCTGACCAGCAGGTCGAACAAATCAACACCTCCATCCCCTCCTCTGAGTTGCTGGTTGAAATAGCATATAGGAGGGGCATGGTAATCTGAAACATATATCATAATGTATGACCACATGAATTATTATAAATCATGCTGACACATATCATCATATTTGATACATGTACATGTAATGATAATCGCAATATCATACAGCTTATATCCACATTTATAACTAAACATCTAATTAACCTTGTGAAATATAATATGAAACAATTCCTTTCTCAGTTTTGGATGACAGGCATTGTCTATGTTGATTATTAATTCATGCACTTAATGATATGTTTATTTATCAATTCCTGTTACCTGGAGGGTTGACAGGGCCGCACTCCTCGGCAAAGTCAATACTGTTGCCGAGGTCAAAGCTGTCCGTGTCCAGCACGGGCAGCCAGGGGCCACGGACCATTGGTTTGGCCCCTGCCTCTTCTTCAGTCTCCGTGTTTTCCTCATTATCTGAAATTTGAAATAATGTTTCTTATTAATAACAATCCCATATAACAGTGCTAAGGGAAAGGATTCCTTATTATAGGGTTTTGCTTTACGTTATCATTATAATATATGGACTAGTGGACAGGGGTAGAAACTAACAAGTTTTGTCCATTCGTCCGCATAATGATAACATACAGCAAAACCTTAAAATTGACCAATTTCTACTAGTCCTTAGGATACCTTTACCATTGGGCAGTTTGGTGAGGACTACAGGACTAGTGCCAATTTCTAACGCTGGTGGACTAAAATGTTTTTTTCTATCGCTGCATTTGCAAATTTTCATGGATGTTTCTTATCATAACTGGAACTCAGCAACTGCTGACTCATGTTTTATTATAATTTATTGATCAAGGGGAGATAAATTGATTTGTTAATGTGCCTCTCCCTTGAATGTACTCCTATTTTGCAAATTGCTTCATGGAAGTTTGTCATTTCTCCAATGTATTTTATGTTTGTTATCAATCTTAAATTTCAATAAAAATAAAAATATATTATATATATACACATAGACCTATAGACATATATTTAGTTTATTGAAGGAACTTTTTCAGACCCTGTAGATCAAGTGCATATTTTACAACACAGTATCAATAATCATGTGGCAACTTTATTTTCATCAAGACTAATATTTTGCTTTTAATTAATATGTATAACCTTTGACCTTTTTAGTTTCAGTACAGATTGAACATGTTGAAAGACTTATTCTTCATTACTACTAGATAAAGATAAGATTAGGATAATCATATCATTATGTGCACCACATGAATTTATTAATGACAAATGAAGGGCTTCCTTGAGTAGTCACAGGGAAACAGTTGTGTAATCATGACACAAACATTTTCAGGGTTAGAACTAAAATCAAAAGCTTTACAATGATGGTAAATTTTCATAAAAAAATTGGCCATAGCTTCCGCGGCTCCGGGCTACCTGCCCGGTGAGGGAACATTTGTTCAGTGCGCTGACCCCCCAACCCATTGGCGCAAGGACAACAGTCACTTGGTGCAATGCCACTCCCCTTTCCCCTTAGTAAGTTATAATAAATATTAATCTACATCCTCAATGATATATCAATAACAATTTACATTTAAAATGTATGACACATATTCATTTATTTTTAATATTTCAAAATAAGTAACTTATAGTAAGACCTTTCAGATTTATGAGGACTGACACATTATACTCCTTTAAAAATATGGCTTCAGGTCCAAAGTGTGAACTAGTGTGTCCTTCAAGATAAATTTAATTTTTAACAAAGACAATTTTCCATTAATATTACTGCATACTGCACTTTAGCAAACGCACGTGTAGGCCACATATTGACATGTTAAAATTTCACTACCATGAGAGCCTTTCTTTCAACATGTTCAAATCATTTCTAAGATTCATATTTCATGAAATACTAAACAAGGAAGTTGGCTGTTTCTACTATGTCGATCATGGTATGGTAGATATTTTTAACATTTGAAACATCACAACTGTCAAGAGTACATCTAGCCATACAATTTCGAAAATTGCAAAAACATAACAAATTCCTATTCCCGCCATTGGTTTGGCACTGACAGTACACCTACTCAATTATTAATGAAAATGAATTAATGTTACTTACCGCTTATCTCTTCCTGGGAGTCGGACTCGGAGTCGGAATCGAGAGAATCGACTGATATGTCCGACTCGAAGTCCGACTCCCCCAAATCATCGTCGTCGCCAATTCCCACTGCAGACATTCCTTCTTGGTTGACAGCTTCGATCGCAATGTTGTCGTCTGTCACATGGGGCTATTTTTATCCCTATGAATATTCATGCTCTCGGCGGGAGGCGAACGTTTCTTAAAATTTGATTTGTGTTCAACGCGCTGATTCGATAAACAAAGCACGAAGATAAAGATTAAAGCATATAATGTATAAATATTTACATTGGATGTCATATTTAACACTGTTGGTGATTTCAACATCGAACTTTGTTTTGTTTTACTCGGGCACCTGTAACCTCTGTGACGTGTCATGTCAAAGGTCGCGGGTCACGGTATTTCGTTCCAGACGAACAATCGGAAATTTGCCGCTCTTGCCAACCCCGTTATGGTGGATGATTGAAACCAAACTGTCGATAACCGTAACAGCTTCATTTGTTTTCGTGAAATAAAAAAACTTAGTCTTGCAATAATAATAAGGTATTTAACAATAACAAACCGCATGAATACAAAATTTACATACTTAAATTAAACGAAAGATTATTAATAATTCAGTAATGAATTCTACTGTCAAAGAGCTAGCTATTTATATTTAGACAAACGAACTAATAATAAATATATAGATTCATCGGGGACCGGTATTCAAGTAATTTTAACTGACATTTACACGTTCATACTTCAACATCAAATAGTTCTTGTTTATATACTTATATAACCAATAAATTATAAATATATTCGACACTGCATAAGATCCTATGTGCCGTTGCTACCAACCTACTTTTCAACGTCTTTTAATAAATTGACACGCCTCATTAAACATACGAAAACGTGACTTACATATAATCAGTCACAAAGCATGAACAACACAGACCCAAAAGGGTGTGTCAACGTTTATCATGTGCGTTTTCGTTTCTTCTGGGAGACATGCTTTCGACTTTTTTTCTCTCATGAAAAGTACCGCTAAGCGACCTTCAACTTCGGTCGCCATTTTGTTTTAAGTTTCGGCTAAAAAGTTGCGGTACCTTTTCTGTGTTTTTGCAGAATTTGAGGCTTAGGAAGCATGAATGGAATTTCTAAGTATACGTATGAATATGAGAAGTGGCACATTTTCACACAGACTGTTTTTAAAAGATGTCAGTAGGTATGTATAACTGTATGAATGTTTTTGAATACGCTTTGATATGAATGTGATGAACGAGGCCTTGAACAAATACTGTAAAAAAAATATATACACTCCATTCACCATCGATAAACTGGGCATTTAGTTGGTTTCATTAGCTAATTAATACATAGATGCGTAGATATTTGACCATTTTCAATCTTTTAACCAAAATATTTATGTAGGTTTCAAACATTCCTTCGCATATGGATTTTCAATCAGTCGGTGCAATTTGTTCGAAATGAAAAAATATTTCAATGGCGGCACATTTGAACGAAAGTGTAAACAAGGGGAATTTGACTAACTCCATATGCGTTAATTATTGACAGTAGAGTTGTGAAAATGACACAGATGTGTTGGAAATTTACTGCTTTTTGCGATGTTGCAATTGCTATGGGCTTGGGGTAATCCAAAAATATTTTATTTCAATTCTTTTAACATGATGTTTCAGAAGGACATATATGTCCCTCTGGCACAGCAACTGCGTTTTGTGTAGGGACATATATGTCCAAATGGCATCCAGGGGGTTAATACCGTAAAGATCGAAAAAGATGCATTCTGATTGGCTTATGTCGACTTCCCGTCATTTCATTGGTCGGTCAAAGTTTGCGAAAGGTCGTTCTGACGTGACCCGTAATGAACACCTCAGATCTTTGTCTAGCAATAGCGAGAACTAGGATCTGATTGTAATTAGATTGGACCTGCCATGACTTCTTTCAAAATGTGGTCACATGGTACTCTGGTCAACCAATCAGAGAGCGTGTCCTAGAGCATGATCGAAATTAGAACAAGGAAGTAAACAATCGCCCGTTGGATTGGTCTCTCTCGTGACGTTTATACTTTTTCAAAGCTATATTTTACACTTAAAGGTCTGCTTAGTGAAGCTGATTGTATTGTTTGTCCGGCGTGTAGGGAAAGTTAGGCATTGATTTTCCACAACCCTGACGATTATTGCACTAATATAAAGAGAGGAATGCAGACGCTCTGTCCACTCGACCTCTATTTTTCCTTTTTACGCCAACGTGTTCTTGTGGTAGAAAGTCCGCCCGGAGAGCGGAATTTCCGGCATTGGATCCCTAGCTGCGTCTTACCAAAAGACGTTAAAAGATGGTATATTATTGTTACCCTGCCTGGCTCTCGGCATCAAGGGGCTAAAGCAAGGGTCGGCTCAGTATACTGTGTCTGAGTAGGGTATTCATTTTAAATTGCGGCATGGTACCTCAGTGGGCTAGCACTATAAATTCGACATTAGTCCGGACTAGTACATGTAGCCACACACAGACAATGATCTCTGACGCGACGTTAAAACCAATTTCCCCTCACCTATTTTCCAAAAACTCGTAGTGTACCGACTATTGAGTCAGGGTGCCGTTTCTCTTCCAATGTTAAAATCCAGTTTTTAATCTGAATTTATTTCCATTGTAGAGGACCTCTACGCTAACTCATGATCATCACTGGGTGAGAGGAAGATGCCAATTTCTTTCAAGTCAGATGCCGATATTTTTGGTAACTTTGCAATTACGGATGTACTGTCAGTATGCGATATTTGGTGTACTGTCAGTAATAGTGGATGTACTGTCAGTATGTAATTACGGATGTGCTCTCAGTATGAAATAGTGGATTGGATGTGCTGTCATCAGATGCGATATAATTGTTTTTAAGCTCCAAAATCCGTTTGTCAGTCTATGCATACAAAGTATGTACGCATACTAAATTAGAGTTGGTTTGTTGATTTGTTGTTTAACGCCGCACTCAGCAATATTCCAGCTATATGACAGCGGTCTGTAATTAATCGAGTCTGGACCAGACAATCCAGTGATTAATATCATGAGCATCGATCCAAGCAATTGGGATCGATGACATGCATAAACCAAGTCAGCGGGCCTGACCACCCGATCCCGTTAGTCGCCTTTTACGACAAGCATAGTCACCTTTTACGGCAAGCATAGTCACCTTTTACGACAAGCATAGTCACCTTTACGGCAAGCATAGTCACCTTTTACGACAAGCATAGTCACCTTTACGGCAAGCATGGGTTGCTGAAGACCAATTCTACCCCGGATCTTCACGGGTGACTAACCTAGAGGGCGGAGAGTAATGCATACACATATAATGCATGTCTATTCACTGTATCGAACGTGACAGGATGGGTAGAATGCATGCTTCTGCTGCAGTGCAAACTTATAACGTTATAGTACAACAATAAAAGAAACAATGTTCATTATTTATCACCAGGCGGAACAGCAAGGGGACGTGACAGCAGTTGTGACATTCACGGTTACCTCCCCTGTTTACATACACTCGATGAATATTATATGTTCCATATTTCTTCTTGAGTGCTTTTCTATTTACGTGATACTCATCTAGTCCTTTTACGTTTTTGTTTGTTTGCTTGATTGTTTGTTGTTTAACGCCGCAGTTAGCAATATTCCAGCTATATGACGGCGGTCTGTAAATAATCGAGTCTGGACCAGACAATCCAGAGATTGACATCATGAGCATCGATCTACGCAATTGGGATACGATGACAGATAGCCTGACCACCCGATCCTGTTAGTCGCCTCTTACGACAAGCATGGTCGCCTGTTACGGCAAGTATGGGTTGCAAAAAAGGCAAAATCTCGGTGAAAAAGTCTAAAACCACAGTGGATATATATATATATATATATATATATATATATATATATATCAGATCCCCTGCAACTGTGGCCACCAATACATTTAAGAAACCCTGAGACCCCCCAATACCTGATTCAAAGAACATCAGACCTCTGTTTGCAAACTAAACCTGAAAACCGCTAATACACTGTGGGGCACTGCTAAGTAAAATCAAATCTTTTACTCCGATACGATCCCCATGTGCGTGACGTTCACAGGAATACCTTCATGGGACCTGATGTTAATGAGATTGGATATAGTTCACAGCAACCACTGGATTGTTTACGGGCCGCCGTCAAATAGTTACAATATGATATAAACATATTTATTTCCATAAAGTGGAGGGATTGGCAAACAAGCAAATGATGCTTATCTGAATGCCTCTCCCAAACATGATACACACACACACAATACAATGTATTCACAGTGACATGAGAAATAGCATACATTATATATATATGACATTAAAGATAAGTATTGTTCTGTAAGTGTTTAATTACTGGATTATTTTTCATAACTACAGTTACGTTATTATTTACATCCAGCACAACAACATCACAGTATTATATAGCAAAGCCAACATCTCAGACAAAATCTCTAAATCGGCAAGAAGATAGAATAAAAGTGTGCACTGATTTCAAAATTTCAAGATTTGTTACTGTCGTTAAATGTGAATTACCATTTAGAATTTAACTTAACGAATTTTTACGAAAAAATACATATTTTGCCTTACTGTACCGTTTAAGTACACTAGTACAATAGTTACAGTATTGCTGACTGGCGCGAAAATCCACAAACAAACAAAAACATTTTTATTTCTTTTATCGCCGACTTCACGAAATAAATTACTATGTTGTGGCTTAAACGCTTCAAACGATTCATGTATTTGAGCACAACAGGACAGGTGAATGCGTAATTAAATGCAACCACGACACATTCCATGTAAACACGTTTACTGATAAAGAATGACATGACAGCCTTGTAAATATATGCAGAATTATGTAAAAATCTGAATATTTTTGCTTGTTAATTTGTTGTTGCAATAAAATGTTTTATCACGTATATACGATTTAGTCATTAATAAACAAGAGACTGGAGGGTCCACCGTTACTCACTCTGTTGGAACCAGGTTCCACGAAGGTTATTGTTACCCACTTGTTGGACACAAGGTTACAAGAAGGTAATTGTTACCCACTAATTGGACACAAGGTTACAAGAAGGTAATTGTTACCCACTAATTGGACACAAGGTTACAAGATGGCGGATATGCCAATTCACACCGAGTAAGAGAAGGACGAACATATTCAAATACATCAGCAAATGAAACCAGGGTTGGTTGGTTGGTTGTTTTACGCCGCACTCAGCAATATTCCAGCTATATGACAGCGGTCTGTAAATAATCGAGTCTGGACCAGACAATCCAGTGATTAATATCATGAGCATCGATCCACGCAATTGGGATCGATGACATGCATCAACCAAGTCAGCAAGCCTGACCACCCGATCCCGTTAGTCGCCTTTTACGACAAGCATAGTCACCTTTTACGGCAAGCATGGGTTGCTGTGGGACGTGATCATGCATACTAGCAATCACTGGTTTGTCTGACTCAGACATGATTATCTACAGGTCGTCCCGATAGATTCTGTATATTGTGGACAGCACATGAACGAACGCACAATCAGTAAAAAGTATCTTCAAATCTACCTGTTTAGTTAGTCCCGGCCCAATTGATATAATCAGGAACACCCACTGACAAGACAAGACGATACCATGTCACATACCGTGGAGACGTGACGTGACGTACTACACCCCACTCAGACACGATGTACGATGTCGGAAACAAAAACTTACTCTGAAAACATTAATATAGATATTGTTAGTCCTGATATTTCAGAGGCGCTACGTACCGTGGAATACAAATTTGATTATGCTGACGACGGAGCCCAAGAATCTTCTGGATTTTTTCAAATTGATCAATATTAATTTCATCAGAACACCTTTGCTTTGATGCAGGCATTGTGGTTGGAGACATGCATATAAAGCTCTGATAGTAGCTAAAAAACACATTTCGGATTTGTTGCAAAATTATTCATTTCCGGACTATTCTTGAACAAATTATTTTTCGAACAAAATTGTAACCAACTCAAACCAAACTTCATGCGTGAAAACTTTATTGTCTTTTTTTCCATTTTACGTGATTTTCTTTCAAATACAACGTTTCCTAAGCCAAAGGTGATCACCTGTCAGTCGTATATTGATTGGTTGATCATCTGGGGACTGACCCGTAAAGATCCGGGGTAGAATAGGTCTTCAGCAACCAACTCTTGCCGTAAAAGGCGACTAAGCTTGTCGTAAAAGGCGACTAACAGCATCGGGCGGTCAGGCGCGTTGACTTCGTTGATGTATGTCATCGACCCGGACCCGTGAAGATTCCGGGGTGGAATAGGTCTTCAGCAACCTATTCTTGCCGTAAAAGGCGACTTTGCTTGTCGTAAAAGGCGACTAACGGCATCGGGTGGTCAGGTTCGCTGACTTGGTTGATGCATGTCATCGACCCCCATTGTGTGGACCGATGCTCATGATCTTAATCACTGGATTGTCTGGTCCAGACTCAATTATTTACAGACCGCTGTCATATAGCTGGAATATTGCTGAGTGCGTCGTTAGGGGCTACTTTTACCTTTCTAATCATCACTTCCATGAACACTACACAATTCCACACAGAGGAAAACATTTCTGTGGGTGGATCTGGTCTGACTTCTATTATCAAGGGCTCTAATGATGGCAGGTGTGACGGATCTAGGGGTTCGATTAACCGGACATGGTGTCACAGTTTGCAAATCCATCACAAGATATCCTTGTCAAAAATAACAGTATCAATTTATTTACATCGATTAACAGCTCAATTTAACTAGCATATATATATATATATATATATATATATATATATATATATATATATATATATTTAAATTACACAATAAATATACAAATACAATACTGGCGCTAAAGATAGCTTTGTTGCAGTGTGGTTGGCTACGTTGAATACTCACAATATATCAGAATTTTGGTTTTCAATTCCATATTATTAAGGCGAACTTTCAAATGTTACGCCGAGTAGATTGAATATCAAACGAGACTCAGATTTTTATGAGCTGACCAAACTGATAGAAAAGGACATAAAATCTTGACACAAACTCCCATTTAAAGTACAACAGTTTCCAAACGATTCTTCCGGCGTTCAGCACCAGGGCCTTTGCAAACTATGCAAAGTTAAATGAGTTACTCTGTGTGTGACATGGCATCGTCTAAACAATATTTAGCCATTCAGGACAAATTGCTTTGATACATAGAGGCTAATTCATGCTTTTTGAAGATCGAGAAACAATATGGGGTTTGAGGCTTCACGAGACGAAATATAAATCGTATTCGACAAAAAAGCATGAAGTAGTCTATTTATTATATACATCTCCCATTTTTACATATTTTGAATTGAAATTTAGTCAGATCTTTCAACTACAAAAACGGCGATGATATTTCTCGCGTCGTGACCTGCTCATATACGACCTGTCGCTTTCACTACGATTAAGTAAATAGTTCACTCAATTTATACTCATTTCAAATTGTCAAAGAAAACAAAATACAAATGTGAATCAAAAACATTTACTCAAATTGGCATTTTATCAATTTCTTAATTTATTATTGCATACAACTCATTGTCCAAACAATGTTTCGCACCAACGTCAATGCGCAGGAATACATAATAATCCATAGTCAGCTGATAGTGTTCAGAGAAAAACAACGTCGCACACTCGCTTCGCTTCGAAAGTTTGAACTTTTGTCAACAAAGTCAACAACGTAAAAGGATATAACAAACACTGAATATGAACGTGAAATGGTAAGTCCAAACATATTTTGTTCTCAATATTTTACGACGAACATTATTTATGCCATATTTCAAGATGATCTTGTCATTCCATTGCAAGCATGGTCTTTTCAATGGTGGTAACTCGTCTTCACATGTGTTTGATGTTGTCGCATTTGCAGAGTGTTTTTCGGAGGACATTGATACATTGAACATGTCAGGTGATAGACATATGGTAACATTTCCGTTGATTGTATTTCCAGACAACAAGGCTTGTCAGAAAATGTTGATTCTGAAAGCGGTTGGACACAGATTGCATCGCAAATCCACCCTGCATTGGTGCCGAGTCCGGATTTCGATCAGCTGTTGTGACTGTGCTGCTAGCGGTGTTACTGTTTGACAGAATGCGAGATATTCCCTTCTGCTTTTCAGTATTCATACTTGAGTAATTATTTATCGAATTCACGTTTTTGTGGCCTGAAATTTGGTAAACAAAATAATTCAAAATAACATTTTATCCATATTTTGAAAGGTGAATGAATGATATTTGTATTTCTCTTAAGAGTATTTTATTATTTATTTGGTATTTCATTACTTTAATGTCTTAAAACAACAAGTTTATAGGATGAGGCCAATAGAATTTTCAAATGTTTATTTTTTTTACCGATATGTTCTCATAATATTCAAAACAACACATTTTAACCATTGATATTAAAAAAGGAAACTAAATTTGTTATTGTCCCCAGACTTATTAAATAAATGTAGATAAAATTAATGTATATTTTCACTTCAGTGGAATACCAACCTTCAAAATTTATTTCTAAATATGTTTTTTCAATATAATTTTATTGTTTTAATATATGTAGTATAAATATTTCATAAATTCATTTTTTTGTTTACAGCTGTCATCTCACCAGATATCTGAATGATGTCATTGGGAGAAACGCCGCTGTCTGTTAACTTCTGGACCAGGTGTTTCCTCATACTGAAAAAAAAACCAAATGATTCTGGTATATTCAATATCATGCCATTTATTTGATATATATTACCTAATTTATTTTGACTTACTTTATGGCTGATTGTCATTGTATTTCCCAATATTATACTAAAGTGTTTATCCAAAACTAATATAGATATTAAAAATTTACCTGTATGGTTTCAATCTTTTGTCATCAGCTATGTCAGCACCTTCTGTCATAGCCTTCATAATTCCATATAGCTTGTTGACACCCAGTGGGGCATTTTTGTACCAGTACGACTGTTCCTTCCTGTTGTTATTGACTGCTAGAAAAAATGGACTGTCTGGTGTACAAGAGGCTGGTGGTCGTCTTAGTCTACAATTTATATGCATTGACAGGGCATTTTTCCAGGTCCTCTGGTGTTGCATAGGCTCTTGGTTTTATTTGCCGTTTATTTTTAGGATTATCCCCAGGTCTTGTTTTTGTTTGTCGCTCACTTATAAAGATAAGATACTCGGATCCATCATCATCATTTCTAATGACAATGTCTCCCCATTGTAAATTTCTGGTTTCCTTTCCAGTTCTCATGCCGAAGTTCAGATAACAAATCATCCACATGGTGTGAAGGAGGCTGAGGGGGTTATCACCTCCGAGGGTCTTGGCATCGTACATGGCATCAATAACGTATCTGACAGCTCTTCAGCAGCCTTAGGTTTGTTGCCCTTCCCATTGATTTAAGTTCTTTTTGTTTGCATTTGAGTGTTTCTCTAGATCTTGCAAATGTGATATCGAAAATGATGTTAAATGTAGAACCAATTTGTTTCAAGTATCTTTGTAGGGAAGATTGGTAGCTTTTTAGACTGACTGGTTCATATTCTGATCCATCATTTTTTTTTACTGACAGAAAAAATCTTGACAAATAGGAATCTAAAGATACTGCATCGATTTCTTCAATTTTTCTAGTTTCCCCCTCAACCATCACTAGGTACTCACTGATAATTCTAATGTCTATATCTGTCTTCTTTCTTGTGTTTTCATTTTCCAGATCTCGAAGAAACCTTGAAACATCATCATCACTGATAGATGGATACTTTTTATTACCAAGTATGCTGTAATCTATTGCAGATAATAAATTATCCACATCATCTCTCTCTCTGTTGTCGCTCATTTTGGCTAGCAGACGATCCAAGGGATGTAACCATGAAAATATGTCCCTTTGTATCGAGGGGAAGTAACTCGAGATGAAAGTAGTTCCGGTCCAAACCTTATATTTTAACCGGTGAAAATATAAGCTTATATTTTCACTGCAGTGAAATCTCATTTTTCAAATTTATTTCACAATACTATTTATATTTTCACTATATATCTATATATTTCATACTTATGTATATAATAAAACAACGTCTTCATTAATTTAGCACAGTTATTTAGTGAAACGAAATGTAATATTAGTGAGAAGCAAATTATTATATTTCTAAACGGTATAATGGCATCAATTGTATAGTGGATGACATCAGATTCTTAAATTGTGATAAGCAGATCATTCCAGAAGGAAATGATATTCAGTTTGGTTGGTTGGTTTGTTGTTTAACGCCGCACTCAGCAATAATCCAGCTATCTGACGGCGGTCTGTAAATAATCCAGTGATTAATATCATGGGCATCGATCAACGCAATTGGGATCGATGACATGCATCAACCAAGTCAGCGAGCCTGACCACCCGATCCCGTTAGTCGCCTTTTACGACGAGCATAGTCACCTTTTACGTCCAGCATGGGTTGGTGAAGAACTATTCTACCCCAGGAATCTTCACGGGTCTGCATCCCTTGTGATGAAAGAATCACTGTTGATTTTTCCATCACAAGGGATAAATATTTCAAGGTTACATCTATGAAGGATCTTTTTAATACTATTAGTTCTCATTTAATAATTTTTTTAAGGAAATAGAGTAAATTTTGTTAATTGTTTTGTATAAAATAAATGACTTTTTAACATTAGTAGAATAAATTTATATCTTTGATTGTTCGTCGCTGTGTCCTCGAAGGGGGTTAAAGTAGTGTAAAATTATTGTCGCCCTGAGAGGGTATCGTTAGGCCATATCATTCGAAGTATGTTATTCCTACTATAGTTTTAATTGTAGAATATGTGTTATATTAGGCTAAATTTGTCAATAATCCCAATACCTGAAGGGAAAATCCGACTGGGGTCCATGCAGGAAGCTGAAGTACTGTAAGTCCCCATGGTCCCTAGTATGGTGATCGACCTTCAGGTGCTGGCGGTCTATAGCCCGTTTTTATAATATAATGGGCCCGTGAAGATCCGGGGTAGAATTGGTCTTCAGCAACCCATGCTTGCCGTAAAAGGCGACTATGCTTGACGTAAAAGGCGACTAACGGGATCGGGTGGTCAGGCTCGCTGACTTGGTTGATGCATGTCATCGATCCCAATTGCGTGGATCGATGCTCATGTTATCAATCACTGGATTGTCAGGTCCAGGCTCGATTATTTACAGACCGCCGTCATGTAGCTGGAATATTTCTGAGTACGGCGTTAAACAACAAACAAAACAAAAACATAAAAATATAATATAATGTTATGTATAGTGCTATTTATTTTATGATTACATACTAGTTTTAAATACATTTCTGTGATAAGTCTAGTTATTTTACTGTCCTACGTTGGCAGGTTTTTATGTTGGTCACTATGTATTTATTATGTTTAACTCTTGATAGTTACGATATGGCTGAAATATTTACAAGGCTGTCATGCCACTCTTGATCAGTAAACGTGTTTACATGGAATGTGTCGTGGTTGCACTGAATTACGCATTCACCTGTCCTGTTGTGCTCAAATACATGAATCATTTGAAGCGTTTAAGCCACAAATTAGTTATCTATTTCGTGAAAGTCGGCCAAAATACTTCAAGAAACAGCCCTCGGTTATACCTTTATATTCACTAAAAGTCCCCACGGTCCCCAGTATGGTGGCCATACTTTGGTTGCTGGCGATCCCTAGCTCGTTTTTATCATGTTTTCTTCTGCATAGTAATAGTGTTTTATCGTTCAATACTAGTTTTAATTATGTCTGTGATACTCTAGTTATTTTACTGTCCTTTGCTGACAGGTATTTTAGAAAGACTACACGTATTTCGTATGTCTGTTTAAATTGTTGTAATCACGATATGGCTGAAATACTGCCGATGTGACTGTAAATCTTAACTCACTCACTCACTTTAAGGCACTTGTTGAGGCGTTCTGGTCTCCGTGTATATGTTTTGGGTTCGACAGTATCCTACCCATGCTCGTGGATTTCACCGAAGGACTAAACGTCTAAGATCTGCATCACTTCAGGATTTCCTCCCACGAGTGGCATAACTCAAATGCCGTTAAAAAAGGTTTAAGCCTACCTCTAATAATCACTCAAAACAAAATTATTGGGGTTTTTTATAAAACGAAAAAAGTGTGTGTCCCATACGAACGTATAAAAAATCAGTTTAGTAATAGAGCTTTTTCTTTTGCCTCTGAACTTTATTGACGTTAGCTGTTCCAATATTATCATGATATTGAATCTGGAAGATTGAAGCTCTCTATATTTGTGTAATAATTATATCGCTGATAAATTCAATGATCTTTTTACATGTCCTGCATTTGAATCAGAAATATGTAGATAGAATACTATTACGAAAGTCGTAATGCCTGAAACGCGTGATTATTCAGCGCTATTTGAAGCGGAGTATTCAGATCGCCGTCGAAGTTTATTAGTTTTGGGTTTTTTTCGTATATTCATGTAGGTTAAGGTAATAAAGGAAACAAATATAGGTATAACCAAAAGAGCTTCAAGTTGTTCATGTTTGTGACTTAGATATTTACAGAAATGTCTCAGTAGTGTTACATTTGTTTAGACGTGCGATCGGGATCTTAATTTGTCACTGTTTGGCGAAATACACGTGGTAATATTTCAATCTGAAATTATCGTAGAATGAACACGACGTGTATGGTGTACATCTTATGTACCAACGACGAACATCAACGTTGTGATACATCTATGATTGGTTGGTTTGTTGTTTAACGCCGCAATCAGCTATATGACGGCGGTCTGTAAATAATCGTGTCTGGACCAGACAATCCAGTGATTGATATCATGAGCATCGATCCTCGCAATGTGATTGGTTTGTTGTTTAACGCCGCACTCAGCAATATTACAGCTATATGACGGCGGTCTGTAAATAATCGAATTTGGACCAGACATCCCAGTGATTTATATCATGCGCATCGATCCACGCAATTGGGATCGATGACATGCATCAATCAAGTCAGCGAGCCTGAACACCCGATCCCGTTTGTCGCCTTTTACGACAAGCATAGTCGCCTTTTACGGCAAGCGAGGGTTGCTGAAAACCTTTTCTACCCCGGAATCTTCACGGGCCTCTCGCAATGTGGAATCGATGACATGCATCAACCAAGTCAGCGAGCCTGACCACCCGATCCCGTTAAGAGCCTTTTACGACAAGCATAGTCGCGTTTCACGGCAAGCATGGGTTGCTGAAGACCTATTCTACCCCGGATCTTCACGGGTCGATACATCTATAAACAACAATATACCATCGTAATATCTTAATCTTAATAAAACACAGCTTCGCCGAATCAACATATTTCGAACTTTCCCCACTGTTCCACAAGCTTGCTATCCTCTGACAAAGCCATATTATGGTCTGTTATGTAAGGTAAACTAAGGTTCAATATTGTAGCCATATCTTCACAGCATCAGTCTTAAATGATTGATAAAAGAAATTTTATATCATCCTGCTTAAAATGTCCATAAATAACCAAAGACATGTGGAAACAACACACAGCATATACTTGATGCATAATTCTTGTAGTTATCAGTGTACGACCCGTGAAGATCCGGGGTAGAAAAGGTCTTCAGCAACCCATGCTTGCCGTAAAATGCGACTATGCTTGTCGTAAAAGGCGACTAACGGGATCGGGTGGTCAGGCTCACTGATTTGGTTGATGCATGTCATCGATCCCAATTGCGTGGATCGATGCTCATGACATTGATCACTGGATTGTCTGGTCAAGACTCGATTATTTACAGACCGCCCTCATATAGCTGGAATATTGCGGCGTTAAACAACCAACCAACCAACCAACGAAGTTATCAGTGTACAATTGCATTTTTAAAAAATAGATCGTCCTGCCCTTCGACGGGCTTTAAGTGGTGTTTTAATGTGTTAGACAAAGAAACGAGGGTATTAACCGCATTCTCCATACACTGCAAACACGAAAACGTCGGACGGAAAAACGACGTTATTTGGACGCTTTTAAACCATCGTTTTCCGTCCAAATAACGTCGTTATTTGACATCGGAATTTACTGGGAGAGAACGATATCATCAAGCTCCTCCCTTTCGTGTTTGACATTGTCAATCAAGCAACAGCGTCTACCGGTATTCCTGCTTCTCAGATTTCATTGGTCAGTTCTCGCGTCTTAGATTACAGGCCCGAGTTTGACGATGTACTCGAAGCGCTCAGCGGAAGTACTGAAATCAATCGTTCTGCGCATGCGGATTGCTTAATGCCTTGTCCTAATTTTCCGTTCTGTGCATGCGCGATTTCGCGTATTGTTTCCACTATGTCACCACTATTTGACAATTATTCATAAACACTGTCTCCTTATAAGTTCGGAATCGTACAATGACGCTTTAATTTATGGCAGGTACTTGATCGGCACGCGTTTCCCATTAACTAATACAATGATAACGGTAATAATTTTAGTCAAAATAATTAGGAAAGCGCAAGGCTCAGGAACGTCTGAGTATAGGAAAAGGATTTATAATTTCGAAAGTTATATAATCGTCAAATACGCAAACGAATATCAACCGGCTTTTAAAACTTATTTTTGTAGAAGGTGATCTTGGTGTATATTGCCAGATATTATATGCATATACATTTTTCCGATATTGCTTATTTGTAAAGTACAGATTCTCGTAGTTTTAAGGGTTGAGATAACAGACGTCGATGGTTAATTATCAATGGACAAATTAAAGCTAAAACTTTTCTTATGAAATATTGGTAATGGGCAATGGACAATGGGCAAACGGGAGGCTGGGGTAATTAGCGCCAATTACCTGTTGGCTTCCCTTGTTACGTTTCCTCCTTTGCTGTCTTTTTACTTTTGTTGTTCTTACAGGTACATATATATCTTCTCTGCCTCATAGCGTTAATTCACCTGATGAAGGAGTAAGTTTTTACTCCGAAACGTTGTGTTCCTCATAATAAAGACGTTGACATCCATACATTTTTTTCCTTATGTGTTTCACTTCTTAATGCCTTCAAAGCCTCAATCTCAATCTAGCTTTGTTTTTAAATGTGGAGATATTTGCGTGGAATATAATATGGTCATGCCTATAAACATTTGGGTCTTTGTCTACATGAGCATTTAGATATAAATTTCATAGCTAAGGAAATTGCTAAATCTGCAGGGATGAAGTACACTTTATAGCAAGCTGTGATCCTTATTCACACTATAGATTTTCGTAATGGAGATCTGTAACTGAAGTTTATCGTAATTTTCCCCAACTCTCACCTCCTGACTAGCTGAACGTCTTAGTGCATTCTGATGCCATTGTAAAATTCCAGGCTGCCCTTCTTTCTGTGATGTTTTGACGGATGAAATCTATTGCGTTATAATACTCTCTGTTTGCTGATATTTAATATGTACATATTGTAAAATATTTACGATATTTTAAACGTATAATTCGATACATGCAATGCAATCTGGGTGCGGATGCATGGAGGCGGTTATAGTTATAGTGCGATGGATGTAGGGGAATGGTAGGAGGGTGTATGTATGTAAGCACGAATACCGATACATGAAGGCGGATATAGCTATAGTTCGATGGATGTTGGGGAATGGTGGGAGGGTGGATTATGTATGTGAGCATGCGCATGTATCCATGATGGCTGACGTAGACATAATGAGATGGTTGTAGGGTTAAAGGGGGAAGATGTGTGTGCGTGCGTGTGTGCGTGCGTGCGTGCGTGCGTGCGTGCGTACATGCGTTGTGATACGAGGGTTGGCGAACATGTAGTGAGATGATTGTGTAAGTAAGTTAAGTGGTTGAGGATGTTGCAGGTATGAGCATTGATACATGCAGACTTGGGGTTGGGGGACTGGATGTGCCTGTACTGATGTCACACACACACACACACACACACACACACACACACACACACACACACACACACACACACACACACAGACAGACACAGACACACACCGACCACACACACACACACACATTAATTGTTTTATTAAATGTATCCTCGAGAGTCAGTAAAAAACTAGAAATAACTGCCTTTGTTCTGTAAATCTCACCAAGTTTCAGCTTTCGCCTCTTCCTTTGTGGAATGAGGTTTCACATTTGTAAAATGATCTCTGTTATCTGTCTGTACCATCAACTTAACTGCCCTCACCCCCTGCAGTTTTCCCGTCCCATATTGCCAAGCAGGTGACCCACAAGGAGGAATACGGCCCTCCCTCAGTCCAGAAGCATGAGTTATACTGTGCCTACCACAATAAGTTGTGAATACGTAGCCTTGCTGTGGCCAAACATTTTGCAACAATTTGGCAAACTTTGATATGTAAACAGCACATATAATTCAGTTTTATTTCATCTTAATATATCAGTTGAATCCCACTTGACCTTTGAAGATCCGGGTTAGAATAGGTCTTCAGCAACCAATGCTTGCCGTTATAGGCGACTATGCTTGTCCAAAAACCAAGACAGCTACGCGATAAATCGCAAAGAACAGAGAAGAAGGAAGCGATATATATTTCACGATAAAACCTTGTTCTATCATGACGTCATTTATGGAGATTCGTACATGCACTCGCAACTTGAGGACGTCGTAGATTTGACGTTATTTGTGAGAGGGAAGTGTCTAGTGAGTTGTTCCCAATAGATGTAGCTGGGGAAGGTAGATAAATTCAATGCCGGAACAATCGCATCCTAAAGTGAGACCGATATGACAATCGGTATTGGGAGAAAAGGTACTGTCAACGTAGATTGGAATGTTTCAAAATGGTCTCACCTGTTAACCGTTAAGTTAATGAAATGTTTGAAATTATATGTAGACAGTTTAATTGATAAGGCATCAGATATTTTTTTCTACAGAGGACTAAATGATTGTGTGTATTGTGTTTTAAAAAAACACTTTTTCCGCTGTTTAGTGTAAGTTATATGTACATGTAGTGTTCACGTCTGTGCAGGCTCCGACCTATACACGTACCTGGAAGGGCTACCAGAACGAGTAGTGATGATCATTAGTGCTGACCTGGCTCACACGCACCTGCCTGATGGACCCTACGGCTACTCCAATACGTCGGAGCCTTTTGATTTGGTAAGGCATCTTTGAATTTTCCGAAATGATGCTTCCACTCGATACGTCAGTCCGAGACCCGTGAAGATCCGGGGTAGAATATATCTTCAGCAACCCAGGCTTGCCGTAAAAGGCGACTATGCTTGTCGTAAAAGGCGACTAACGGGATCGGGTGGTCAGGCTCGCTGACTTGGTTGATGCATGTCATCGTATCCCAATTACGATGGTCTGGTCTATTTACAGACTGCCGTCATATAGCTGAAATATTGCTGAGTGCGGTGTTAAACAAACAAACAAACAAACCAACCAACCGATCCGAGGAACAGGTGGTCAGGCTCGGTGACTTGGTGGATGGCGAAGATCATCGCTCTGTTATGTACAGGCTGCCGTCATTTAGCTGAAATATTGCTGAACGTAGCGTTCAACAACATACAGACAAACAAACAACAAACAAACAAACAAACGTCAGAAGGTTGGTTTGGTTTAACTCTGCCCTGACCAGTGGTTTACATGGTGTCATCACCCGTGAAGATCCGGGGTAGAGTAGGTCTTTAGCAACCCATGCTTGCCTCAAGAGACGACTATGCTTGTCGTAAGAAGCGACTAACGGGACGGGATGGTCAGACTCGCTGACTTGGTTCGATCCAAAATATGTCAATCACTGGATTGTCTGGTCCAGACTCGATTACTTACAGACCGCCGTCATATAGTTGTGATATAGCTGAGTGCGGCGTTAAACAACAAACAAACAAACAACAACAAAAAACATCCCCGTCATTTCGTTCGTCCCACCGGAGACTATGCATGTCATCGATCCCAATCGTGGATCGATGCTCATGATATCAGTCACTGGATTGTCTAGTTCAGACTAGATTATTTACAGACCGCCATCATATAGCTGGAATATTGCTGAGTGCGGCGTTAAACAACAAACAAACAAATAATAGATCAGTTCGTACAATCCGAAGTTCGTTATTCAGATGAAAAAGAACCACTAAGTACCTATGGATAAGGCATTACATTCGTTTTAACCGACTATTTGAAATAACCGGAGTTGACTGACTACTTTATCCTTCCAGGCTGTAGGTGAGTGGGCGGGGTCACTGGACGAGCAGGCGCTACTGGTCACTGCCTCGCATTTGGTGGACAGTGCTCTCTCGTGTGGGTACACAGGCCTCGTCATGATGCACGGGGTGTTCTCTGCAGGAGGTCTGTTGTCATGGCAACCGGATCTCCTTGTCAACCATCACCCAAGTTACTACGGCATGATGGTTGCGTCGATCACAAGACGAAATATCGTGCAGATGCCCTGAATATACATTTGCAAAGTCAATATTGTACAGAATTAGAAGAATATTCATACTGGGTGAACGCCATGATCTCTTAACACCGTCGAGTGTATGTGATAAAACTGATTAAATGCTTTGTTGATAAAGTCTGTTTGCGTGTTGTTTAACGCCGTACTCAGCAATATTCCAGCTATATGACGGCGGTCTATAAATAATCGAATCTGGACCAGACAACCCCGTGATTGATATCATAAACATCGATCCACGCCATTGGGATCGATGACATGCATCACCAAGTCAGCGAGCCTGGCCACCCGATCCCGTTAGTCGCCTTTTACCACAAGCAAAGTCGCCTTTTACAGCAAGCATGGGTTGCTGAAGACCTATTCTACCCCGGATCTTCACGGGTCCTTTGTTGTTAAAACTATTAGCATTGTTGTTGTATGTCAGACTGATCTTATTTTGTAAAGTGCGTAAAACAATAAACGAAACCACAAGAAGGTACTTTTACAGCTAAAATGATTCGTGTGTAGCCATGCATTAAAGAAACGGCCTATAGCCTGAGGTATCACGAAACATGTCTCAAGGTGATGACCTCACACTAACCCCTGCATTCTCTCGGTGGAAATTTCTCCTGAGCTGGGGATGGTCCCACAATATTGCTGTTATTATATTGTACTTTATAGAGATAGGCGTTAACTGGGGTAGCAATTAACATATTAGTCCTGCACCATGACCGTGGAATATATTTATTTTATGAAAAAAACATAATCTAGAAATGCATACAAAAGCAAGTCTAGCCAGCTCAAGCTAGCTCTATTCCACAAAAAATCAGCATAGGGAATTTTTTTTTTTTAGTGTCAAGAAGGATCTTGTGTCATATAAGGTTTCAGAGACTAAATGTTAGTCTATTAACATATATATATATATATATATATAGTGCCAAATGAAAGCTATGAAACGGCATGAGTTTTGGAAGGTTGGGATTTTAATATCAAGTTTGTTTGTTTGTTGTTTAAAGCCGCATTCAACAATATTCCAGCTATGTAGATAATCGAGTATGGATCAGACAATCCAGTGATTAATGTCATGAGCATCGATCAACGCAATTGGGATCGATGACATGCATCAACCAAGCCAGCGATCCTGACCACCCGATCCCGTTAGTCGCCTATCACGACAAGCATAGCCGCCGTTTACGGTAGGCATGGGTTGCTGAAGACCTATTCTATCCCGGTTCATTACGGGTCTTTTAGTATCAAGAAATATTTCTTGCTTAAGAGATGATCTGAGTATCTGACTCAGCTAACCGTGGTGTGCCGCCAGGACGTCTGTCTTGTACTTTACTGGTTTCTTATTCAGGCGAATTTTCTCCATGAGGGCACTTTCGTTTCGGATGGATGTCGACGTTGCAAAATGTCAGATACGCATGCATAGTTGCCTTCAGACGGGTTCCGACTTCAAACCAATGACACGATTACCTTCACCTGATAGTACTATGGGTGCTTCTCGTCCACCTGACCGTAGCCACTTGTAGTCAGTGGAATAATTCTTATTCACCCAGTTTCATCAAATGTGATGGTATGGACGCCCTGACCGTGATGGTCATGAATGGTGCGGAGATACTGGGGTTGGTTGGTTGGTTTGATTGTTGTTTAACGCCGCACAATCCAGTGATTAATTTCATGAGCATCGATCAACGCAATTGGGATCGATGACATGCATCAACCAAGTCAGCGAGCCTGACCACCCGATCCCGTTAGTCGCCTTTTACGACAAGCATAGTCACCTTTTACGGCAAGCATGGGTTGCTGAAGACCTATTCTAGCCCGGATCTTCACGGGCCCGGAGATACTGTGACCTCATAGACAGGAGGGAATATTTGTCTCTGAAAACCTACGTGAAGTGTACTGAAAACAGTTCTCGTTGAGAGCAATAATTAATGTAGTCCCAGAAACATTAATTGTGTCTTAGTTTCCACCCTAGTCCTGCACCATGACCATGGAATATATTTATTTTATGAAAAATAATAATCTAGAAACGCATACAAAAGCAAGTCTAGCATGCTAAAGCTAGCTCTATTCCACAAATCGGCATAGGGAATTTTTATTTTATTTTTAGAGTCAAGAAGGATATTGTGTAATATAAGATTTCAGAGACTAAATGTTAGTCTATTTCCACACTACATGTCAGAGGAACCTCCTGATCATAAAGCTTTTACATTGTACGCCTTATCACCCCTGCACAAAAGTTGTCGAATATCCTTGTACCTACCGGTTTTTGTTTTTGAGACCACCCCTACCTTCATTGTAAAATTTATGATACCGTCCATTGTTGGTATGGAAGCCCCAGTGTTTAGGCAGTTCGGCTAATAGATGGTTTCCCGCTATCCCTCTTAAGCGTAAAGACCTTGTAAACATCTCCTACTGCAGACCCCATGCCGTGTACCATGGCTATGGCTTTGCTCGTATAATACAACATGCATCATGGGAGCAGTGTTGACAAAACAAACGGTCATTTTGTTATTTTCTTATATTCTCAGCTAGCATGTTCTCTAATTGACTTTTATGTGGATCAGATGTTTCATTAATAATAACTTTTATTATTATTATTTTTATTATTATTATTATTATTATTATTATTATTATTATATTATTATTATTATTACGGAGTCCCATGTGCATAATTCTATAGTCCGTTTCAGACTTCCCTCATTGGACTTACAACCCGTGAGTGAGTGAGTGAGTGAGTGAGTGAGTTGGGTTTAACACCGCTTTTCACAGTATTCCAGTTACATCACGGCGTGTCAGCTTAATGTGGGAGAAAAGCCCGAAGTGGCGCAGGCCTCAGACGTTTACCACTTCGGTGAAACCCACGAGCACGGGTATGGTGCTGACAAACCTAGAAACATAATCGGGGCGAACCGGGATTCGAACCCACAATCATCTGGCGTGCCTAAGAACGCAACTCTGCACAGCGAATCGCGGCGCCTTAGACGACTGAGCCACCCGTGCCCCCTACAACCAGTGAAGATTCCGGGGTAGAATAGGTCTTCAGCAACCCATGCTTGCCGTAAAAGGCGACTATGCTTGTCGTAAAAGGCGACTAACGGGATCGGGTGGTCAGGCTCGCTGACTTGGTTGATGCATGTCATCGATTCCAAAAGCGCGGATCGATGCTCATGATATCAATCACTGGATTGTCTGGTCCAGACTCGATTATTTACAGACCGCCGTCATATAGCTGGAATATTGCTGAGTGCGGCGTTAAACAGCAAATATACAATCAAAAATAATCATTGGACTAAATCTGAACCGGCTGATTTCGTTTGAATTTTTCTCCTGTAAAATTGTCGATAGGACTACAGGTATGTTAAATACTTCAAACCACAGGTAGGTAGATGGGTAGTTACATGATCCTTCAATAGGAACAGTCCGTAAAGCATTATTTCTTGTTTTAACGGGCAAAACGCAATTTTACGAGCATTTCCGACAGTACTTTTTTAGTCCTAGTTTTGTTTTAGTCTTTGTTTTCCTCGTTCAAAATGGAAAATATTTAATGATTTTATTATCATATTTACCCATGATCAAATAATTGGGAGCGTAGGAAACAGGATGAATCTAACCTTGTCATAGCATAACACAACATGTGTCATCTATGAACAGTATTTACCGTTACTATTCACGTGAGAAAGACATGACAGCGATAGCCTTATTCAGTCACTTGAATGTTCTTTTAGTTCATGACCTTCTTGAAAAAAATAAATTTGGCGGCCAGAAGAAGCATACATTTCAAACGTTGGTCAAATGGACGACACATTTATTTCCCAACCTGCATAAATTTGGGAAATACTGTCCATTCGTGTGGTGCTAAAAGACGTGAACAGATGGTACGCGTTGTTACCCTGCCTGGCGCTCGGCATTAAGGAGCTAAAACTCCAACTGCGGCATGGTATCTCAGTGGGCTAGAACGGCATTAGTCAGGACTAGTACAAGCAGACACACACACACACACACACACACACACACACACACACACACACACACACGGGCATGCACCTCACTATGTAAGTCCAGTAATCTTGAATGCGACGTTAAACCCCACCCCACCCCACCTCACCTCACCTCACCTCACCTCACCTCACCTCACCTCACCTCACCCCACCCCACCTCACCTCACCTCACCTTGAATCCCTCAGGGGTTGACCTACTGTGAGCCATACATGTACAACGATACGAAGACTTGCTCAGCGTTAGATCTGTATGTGTTATTTTTCAATAACTGCTGTAATAAAGAAGAAAAATCTAAATCGTTTATTTCACAGGGATGTGATTTATTACCAGTTGTGGTATTCAGCACAATTAATGTTATAGAAAAATCATAATTCTGCCAACGAACACTATCCATTTCGTTGAATGTTTTTTTTGATATATTCAAGCCATTTCGAACCATAAACAATTTACCCGAGTGACTAGATTAAATCTGCTCCACGCCGGGACAAAGCCCTGATTGTGATATAGCTTTGCATTATAAGCATCTGTCACACATCGCGTGATTTCTACCAAGTTATATAAATAAGGTGGCGGCTTCAAAAGATTGCACTACTGATGCTACCTAATTAACTGTTTCTAGGGCACATGTTCTCAAACGGTTAGGCTATTTTTTTAATTTATTTGTTGAACACATTTCTAATGACAGAAGGACACCTTTCAATTGTCCGCAGCAACTATTCCAACAAATACACGTGGCCACACATGAACTCGGCTCTTTAATACAATGTGACCCATGAAGATCCGGGGTAGAATAGGTCTTCGGCAACCCATGCTTGCTGTAAAAGGCGACTATGCATGTCATCGATCCCAATCGTGGATCGATGTTCATGATGTCAATCACTTGATTGTTCGATCCCCAGCCGCGTCATACCAAAAGACGTTAAAAGATGGTACTTGTTGTTACCCTGTCTGGCGCTCGGCATTTAAGGGCTGAAACAAGGACTGGTCGGCTCGGAGTCAGTATACTGTGTCTGAGTGGGGTATTCATGTTAAACTGCGGCATGGTATCTCAGTGAGCTAGCACTATACATCGGCATCAGTCCAGACTAGTACAAGCAGCCTCACACACACACACACACACACACACACACACACACACACACACACACACACACACATATACTTCCATGCACGTGGCTATATAAGTGCAATTAACTTGGACGCGACGTTAAACCCCATTTCACCTCACCTCACCTCACCAATCACTTGATTGCCTGGTCCAGACTGGATTTTTTACAGACCGCCGTCATGTAGCTGGAATATTGCTGAGTGCGGCGTTAAACAACAAACAAACAAACATAATACCCTGTCAGTTGTCAAGCAACAGTCTGTTTTATATAATGGGGATATTTGATTTTATTTTTTTGGTGGCAATACAAATAACTGACGCTCAACATTTAAAATGACGCTCCGATGACCGAGAAACATTTACCTGTTTTTGGCCTGCTTTATTAATAGTTATGTCCCACATATTCACCGGCTTCTCGCATTCATTTGAGCATTTACGTTTATGTAGGGAAGTAGCTAAAGCATACGCTGGGAACGACAACGAAGGGTGACACCGCTCGTGATTCATTTGTGTCGTATTCAAGCAAACGGGATTGTTTCTGTGAGTACTTCGGGTCATTTACGTGACACGCTTTACACATTTCATCTCTCTAATTATTCTCCACGCCTTCAATTTAAGATTTGCCGATTTGCTTAGTATTTTATTTGTCGAATGTGTTCATGAACAGTCAAATATGTGACGCATAATTATATCTGTTTCGGGTTCTGGCGACATGTCCATGATAAGCCGATTAAGAAATAGGAGTGAAACGACGACCATTCACGTTTTATCTTGTTTCACATCTTCTTAAATATTGGAAGGCCTGCCATCGCTGTGTTTCAGGGCTGCGCGCGCACACACACACACACACACACACACACACACACACACACACACACACACACACACACACACACGCACAGTCACGCACATACACGCATACACACACTCACACATAGACACAGACACGCATACTCACACAGGCACAGACACGCATACACACACTCACATACAAGCACGCATACAGACACTCGCACACACATATGCACTCTAACGTACACACTCACACGCAAGCACATACACACACACACATTTTGTCAAGCCTACTGAACATGTTGACGTATATAAAAAACATAACTAAATTATTTGCTGACGTGTTTTAAACCCCCAAAATGTCAATTAACAGAAATTGTAGTCGGAATTATAGGCTACTATTTTTGTACTGTAAATGCACTGTAAATCGTCAACTAAAGTAACAACAACAGTGAATGTCGTTAGGCTGGAGTGTGTTCGGATCACTGCAGTGGTCGCAAATCTTGCAAAACGCTAAGGTTTTCATACTGATATAACATATTTCAGAATTACCCTGGTGTTGGCACGATATTTGTGCAAATAAACAGAAATAACAGTTGCGCCTTTAACCTTTTTATTTCAGTAAATTTAAATATATGGAAAATATGCAAGGTATAAAAATATAATTTGTTTTCTAACAATATTCTATAAGAACCAATTTGAAACCCAGTGCTTGATATTTACATAACTAGATTTGTGGAACTGGCCTTCTTTTTAGTGCTGTTTGGTAAAATAAAGGTTTGCAAAACGACCTCTCCAATTGATCACAGCGCACGCAACATTTACGGGTTTATTGCAGAAACCAGTCTAATTACAATCTGATGATTTACTGATACATTCCTGATTCATAAAAGTTGCGTTAAAAAACCCTAAACAATCTTATTTTAATACGATACATTTCTATCACAGATCGCTTGTCAGAGTTGTTAGTTGGGTTTAAAGCTAAACTGAATTTAATTAAAAGTTAAATAGGAGTGTCACTTTGATGTGGGAGAAATGTCTGAATGATGCAGGTATTAGACGTTTTTTGTTTGTTTGTTTTGCTGTTTAACGTCGAAAATAGCGATATTTCAACTATATCACGGCGGTCTGTAACTAATAGAGTCTGGACCACACAATCCATTGATTGACATCATGAACACCAATCTATGCGATGACAGGCATCAACCAAATCAGAAAGTCTGACAACCCGATCTCGTTAGTCGCCTCTTACGACAAGCATGGCATGGGAAACTGAAGACCTACTCTAAACTCGGGGCTTTACGGGGCTTTTTAGACGTGTACCAGTTTGGTAAACTCACGGACATTCCAGCTATATGACGGCGGTCTGTAAATAATCGAGTCTGGACCAGGCAATCCAGTGATTGACATCATGAGTATCGATCCACGCACTTTGGATACGATGACAGCGAGCCTGACCACTCGATCCCGTTAGTCGCCTCATACGACAAGCATAGTCGCCTTTTACGACAAGCATGGGTAGCTGAAGTCCTATTCTACCGCGGATCTTCACGGGTATTGTTTAGCTTATATTGTTCTATATGTTACACAAACCAGTATATTATTTATACACTGTTCGTTAATCTTATAATTCAAGTTTTCTATCCCACAAAACTAAGTAAAATCATCTTTCAGCAAAGAATATTGCATCAATCGTACTGGTGTTTTTGTAACAAACACTACCTGATTGTCTTAAATGGAAACGAAAAGGTCAGATTTTTTTAACGTCAAGGAGTTGTGTCGCATAGCATCAGAACTGTGAAGATCCGGGTTAGAATTGATCTTCAGCAACCCATGCTTGTCGCAAGAGGCGACTAACGGGATCGGGTGGTCAGGCTTGCTGACTTGGTTGATGCATGTCATTTTATTCTATATAATTGTCTGGTCAAGTTTGCCGCCAATTTTCTGGAACATTGCTGAATGCGGCGTTAAACAACAAAGAAAGAATCAAACGCATGGTATCATCGCATTGGACAATCAAAATGTTTATTATGAAAACAAGCAACTTCTTTTCAGATAAAGCAAAATTGTATTCTTAATATCGTCGTTTGGGCTTTCACGTGCGATGGTGGGTTTATCTGAAGTACCATTGTGAGACCTGTCCAACCGTACCACACTGACCGAACTAGTTAGTGAAGTTTACTAGTTAGTGTCCATTCCAACACGAACACGAACATGTTAGTAGACTTTACTAACCAGTTAGTAAGTTTTTGAAAATTAGGCTTAAGTGGCCTTTTGTAGATAAGTACAATTTACTATGGATTGCTGTCAATCTTCAACAAAATCTTCTCACAATTGTCCACGTTTTACTACACGTTAGTAAAGTCTCGTTTCTTGGTCATTTTGCGATCCCTGTAGACAGCTACTGAATACAATTTGAAAAAAAACCAAGGAAATAACAAATGACATAAACAATACAGATAATGATTTTCACTGGTATTTTAAGTTTACTTACACAATTCTAAGAAAAATTAATTGACAGGTAAAATGTACAAATATTGTGTTACATTAGCAAACTTAAGAAACCTTCCTTCTTCGTCGAATACATGCTCTAAAAAACTAAATTTTGTCAGTCATAAAAGAATTACATAAACGTTACAAATCCAATATATACTTAACACACCGACTCATAATTACTTCCTTGTTGTCTCAAAATCGCGAGCGTGACACTGACCATAGAAATTACTATGTTCTTCGAAATGAAATGTATTTTTTACCAACATGGTTATTCTTTACAAACAGGGTATTATGGAAATTGAATTAAATAGATTTTTTTTTACTCCTTGCAAGAACTCATTTTGGCCCAATAGCGTCGACTACACATGCTATTATTCCCACACCGAAATAACATAATATCATATATTAACTTTTTTTCTAACCATATGTACTTGCATTTATCAACACACGTGAAACGTTTTATCTTTTCGCATGAAGAATCAATTTAATAGTGCACTGGCATTTTCCTTTATAATACCATAGCCAAGGTTTTGTTTATGTATAATAGTTAACCAAATATGAAACCATCAGCGGTGTTTTGATATTGCTGATATAGTCACATATGTTTACCCGATAAATATTGTTTCCTGACAATTGATATTCCCCAAGACAATACACAAGCTGTTTCCACTGAACAAGGACTTAGCCACAGGGAGCAGACCTATCGTTATCTATGTACGTAGTAAGCACGAGATTGTTCTTGGGGTTTTACGAGTTTGTATAACGAATTCGTGTTCGGATATACATTTATTATCACTATATACCCTGTTATGCAACATTGAAGATGCTTTTAAATTCCTTTGGGAGTTTTGTTTCCCTTTTTGATGTTGTAATATGATGTGAAAAATTTGTTTTTCAAGAGAATTAATAATTCGAACAAAATCACTTATCTGAGGAGATACCACATGTGTACAACATTGAAGATGCTTTTAAATTCCTGTGGGAGTTTTGTTTCCCTTTTTGATGTTGTGATATGATGTGAAAGATATTTTTTCAAGAGAATTAATAATTCGAACAAAATCACTTATCTGAGGAGATACCACATGTGTACAACATTGAAGATGCTTTTAAATTCCTGGTGGAGCTTTGTTTCCCTTTTTGATGTTGTAATATGATGTGAAAAATTTGTTTTTCAAGAGAATTAATAATTCGAACAAAATCACTTATCTGAGGAGATGCCACGTGTGAAAAAGTTGCTTCGGTGTGAGGCAGGTCATAAGTTGGTTATAAACTTTCCTGAATGTCATCGTGGACGTCAAAGACTGTGATTGCCTGTAAATCACCTCAGTTAATGTATGTGCCTTGATGCATGTCATCGACCCCAATTGCGTGGATCGTAGTTGATGATATCAATGGATTGTCTTGTCCAGACGCGATTATTTACAGACCGCCGTCATATAGCTGGAAAATTGCTGAGAGCGGCGTTAAACAACCAACCAGCCAACCAACCAACCAAGTGAATGTATGAACTAAACTGCAGACCTAAAATAACTTTGTGTCTCTTATTGTATTATATGGTTGATTTTCAATTGAAAGTGTCATAAGTTAGCGACATTATGTCCGAAACATTAACTATACTGACGCTTAGTCAGCACCCAAAGAATACGTGTTGTTGTTTTTACCCAATATAATTTGATTTAAAACTTTCAAAAATTTAAAAAGGTCAAATAATACACAGCTACTGATGGGTATATCTTAGACACCGTATCTTTAAAAATCAATCGATTTTCTTTTTTTCGACATAAATTTATAACATTTCGCACATGGTAGGGGTCATGTGATTGCAAATTCATTTTTTACCCCAGTCTTCATTGAACCATTTTATTGTTACATAAAATTACCCAGCCACAGATTACGTTTACAAACTGTCGCAAGACTGAATGATCATTAAATAGACATAATCAAATTTAACAAGATCTCTTTTTCAATTTTCAGTTTAATAAAATAACAAATTCGGTATACTTTCTTTTGCCTTTTTTACTATTTGTGATAAATGTTTTGGAATATACACTTCTGCTTAATTACAATGCAGTCACTTACAGTCTAAATGAGTGAGTGAGTTAAGTGAGTGAGTGAGTTTGATTTTATGCTGCTTTTAGCAATATTCCAGCAATATCACGGCGGGGTACACCAGAAATGGGCTTCACACATAATACCCATGCCGGGAATCGAACCCGGGTCTTCGGCGTGACGAGCGAACGCTTTAACCACTA